AAAGCACACAAAGAGGCCGCAACTAAGGAGGGAAAGTGGTGACCACAGTTAAGGCAGCTTTCCAATACTCCCCCTCACACCCAAGACAACCAGCCTAGGGTGTGGCAAAGGCAAGTGGCCCAACAAATGATCTAATTCTAGAATAGGTTGTGAATCTTGTGATGCTATCTTAGAATGTAGGTTTTGAACCTAACTTAACCTTACAAAATTAGTTTGGAAGGTGAGAACTACCCAAACTTTATAAACTATTTCAGCCATATATATCTCTAATTGATCCCAAAAGAGGCCACAACTAAGGCAGCCAAGAGATGACCAAATTAAGGCAACTTTCCAACAAATTTCTTAATCCATACTTCTATATATAAGGGAATAGGTGTTTTTGGTGTATATATTTTTGTGTCAAATTTTACCCCGATAACTACTCCACAAAACACTCCTACTATTCTATTAACCACCTACTATTATATAATTTTCATCATCTCTTTTTTAATTAAATTTTATTTTTAATTAAAAAAAACAGAGAGACACAGAGTGCCTACTTTTCCGGAATAATAATTTTAATTACCATAATGGTAAATTAGTACCAATAATAGTTCGAATAATAATTTTAATTATGATAATGGTAATTATCGTAATATTAAAAATAATTTGAACAATAATAATAATAATGATGATAATAATAATAATAGCAACTTAAATCATATTAATTTTAATCATAATAATAATCATTTTAATAATAAATAATTGTAATCATAACAATAGTAATTTGAATAAAAAAAAATAAGAGCAATATCAATAATAATCTATATCTATAGTAATAATAAAGGGGATCATCCCATTTCATGTACACAATTTTCTTACCTACTTTACCCTTAATAACTGTTAAAAAAAGCTCCATATATACTCAAATAACAGCAAAAAGTGCCATAAAAAATTATTATTATATATGCTTTTCACAGAAGCACAGAATGCATTTTTTCCTGCTACTAATATTAATTTCAATAATATTAATACACATTTTAATAATAATAATTTTCATAATAATACATTTAATAAGAATAAGAATAATTTTAATAATAATAATAATAACCTTCATAATAATAGTATGTGGGGTCTTGACATAGCCAGTAATAGTGACATTTTTACAACTTAAAACAAGAAACTATTTTTCATGCTTCTGGCATAAGGCTTAAAACTGTTTTGTTTTAAATATACAATTTGAAAACAAAAAACTAGAAACTCAGCACCACCCCAAGGCCCAAGCGGGTCTAAATTATAAATGTTTGATACAATGAAGGCAGCATTTTTGAGGGAATACACTCAATACAGAACTGCATATGCTACTTTAACCGTGATTATGCAGGCTATAATGCGAGAGAACCCCATTTTGTAATAGTTGTAGATATCAAACTCAATACTGCTGTAGAAAACTGGGAGGGGAAAAGTTCTAAATAACAACACTAAACTACGAAGCAGTAGAACAAGTCCTAGACAATTAGTCTTGTAGTCTTGGATAGAAAAGCACCTTCAAAGTTGTGTTTAAGTTATTTCTTGCATTGCTAAGTAGCTTTATCTGGTCATGGTTGTCAATTAATGTTTGGCATTCCT